TGGTCTTAGAGTTGCGGAGATAATTAATATAAATCTATTTTTAAAACAGTCTAGCAATTTTGTAAAATGAATGTGTTTTTTAGAAACGTATTAGTTTATATACCGTCGAATGTGTGTGTATCAATCGTTTTTGTTAGTATCTTTATTAACATTATTACAAATGCATTTACATGAAATCGTAAATATTATAAATCTATTTTGAAAAAAATTGAAATCTATTTGGAAAATTGTAAAAAGTTATGAATGCATTTTTTAAGTCTTTCTGAAAGTGCTTTTCAATTTTCTAGTCTTTTTTTTTCTTCCTCCAAATGAAATAAGCTTATTTGAATGATGCGTAAGTAAATTTTTGAAAAGATGAATCAACTTTTTTTAGAGTCTAGTAATTTTTTTTTAACTGGTTAGGTATAGTAATTCTTGGTTTATTATTTTTTTTACCTGCTCAGAAAACTAAAAAATAAATAGATGAACATTATGATGAACACATTACGCATAATGTGATTTTGTTTAAATTATAAAAACAATTTTGGAACAAAACTTATTAAATTTAAGACGTATTAATTATTTTTATTTCACTGATAGAAATGTAAATTTTTTTCTCCCTCTCCTGATGAAATCCAAAAAATTTTCTGATAAGAGGAAATACATTCAGGGGCTCCGCGGAAAGGTCTCAGGGTTCCATGAAGAATTTTTTTTTTTTACGATTTCCGATTATTGAAACCTGTAAATATATCTAATCAATAATCCATTATTTATTTAATAAGCTAATTTAAGCAAAATGCTCTTGGAATAAAATTGCAAAATTTAAAAATATATATTTTTATTCAAATAATAATACATTTGAATAAATTATGAAAAGAATATGCATTTATAATAAAGTTGCGTTAGTATTTCTCATCAAATTTTCTAGTATACATTCTCAACATTTTATCACCTTTTCTTATCCATTTTGAGTTTATGAATTCTCTAACAACGAATTCCGAACTAAATTATATGTCGTGCGAGTTCACTTATCTGGCACAAAAATTTTATTTTAAAATTACTACTGATAAAACGATGAAATTAATAATTAATTTTTTTCACATTAACTATTTTCAAAATGATTACTGTAATTATAATAGAGTCGTGTTGCCTCAGGGGATAGAGCGTTCGCCTTCCAATACGATGAACCGGATTCGAATCCCAGCGATGGTTGGTCGATACGAATTCCGCACCCTGCTCGCACCGACCACAGTGCTGACGTAAAATATCCTCAGTGGTAGACAGATCTTGGGCCAAGGCCCCCTTGCCGTCAGGCTCACCGTGGGAGGTTTTCTTGATTTTCCTCTACATGTAACGCAAATGCGGGTTAGTTCCATCAGAAAGTCCACCAATAAGGCAAATTTCTCCCAATACTTGATCCATGATTTCCCTTGTCTTCTGGATTGGGTTCAAACTTACAAGGCTACGGAATTGAACATTGGTAGTCGTAAACCCGAATTTGGATCGGCTGCTTAACAGTGGTTATAAAATAAAATTTAATTATAATCGTCGTAAGTTTTGTTATTATGTTTATAATTGCCGATGAACTTTATTTATGGTTCGGAGTTTTGTTAAAGGAATAAGGGGTGATTATTTAAGGTTCCGCAGTCGAAAAAAATTTGGAATCACCCATAAAGAGAATTAATTCCAGCTGAACCCGCTAAAATAGCGTATATATTTAAATAAACCGAAGTCTCCCAGTTTTTTTTTTTCCAACTATTTTTTAAAATATAATCATATATTATTATTATTGTACCCGCAATCGGAACAATTACACCAAATTTAGTGAGGAAAAAGAAAGAAAAAACATAAAAAAAATGATGGCACCAGGTCCAACAATCAAAATAGGGATCTCAAAACTTGTAAAAACTGGCTTTCTTTTCAAAAGATCGCAGTTCTCCCCATCCCCGGTAATAAGTGCTTGACAGAACTTTTTATTACATCTTAATTCACAGTTGGTTGTCGGCAAGTTCAAAGAAAGCCACGTATAATTCAGAAATTATAATTCTAAATCCCACATTCAACTTTTACTGCACTCTGTCCTCCACCCTCGCTCTTCCTGTTTGCTTTTTATTCAAAAGGTTTTTCTTATTTTTTTTCACCTTGAATTTTACTCAAAAGTACTTTCCCCTAAGTTAAATAAACTGCAGACGGCTTCACCAATTGTAATATTTTTTTTTTTCAAGCATCTAAGTCTATGGTTGTAATCTGTGTAAACCATTATTAAACCATATGAATACTTGAGATAAGTGGACCATAGGTATAGTCCTTGTTATACTTTTACGGGGTTCTTACTTCGTTGTTGATTTAAAGATTACAGCTGCAAAAAAAATTTTTCGTGTAAAATTATGTCAAAAATTTAGACTTATTTTTATAAAGGTTAAAAATATGAGAAAAATCCTTGTGTCGGCGTTCATTTATGTTGACATACAAAATTACAGCTGCAGGTTTCTCTCATAATTTTTTTTCTTCACATTTCGAGAAAAACCCAGATACACATTTTTTAAATTGCGTGTCGGAAATTAAAATTTAAATGACGCAAAACTATGAAAATCTAATGAATCAAACATTCACGTTGTTCTTTATTAAGAAGAATTCGAACTAGGCTTAACAAAGCAGAAACAGGCTGAAATTCGCGTCGTGCGATAGTAAGACGAATTCGAACTAGGCTTAACAAAGCAGAAGCAGGTAGAAATTATAAAATTATCTGATTCAATTTACGGAGATTTGAAAATAAAAATATAAATATCCTTATTAAGCAATTGAAAAAATACATGCACTTTGTCAGGGAGAACTTTTGTCTCCGTAGATGCATGCTAATACAATTCTGCAATCTACAGTGTTTAACGGGTAGTTTAAATATTATACAGTTACCCGTTTTTAGAAATTAGATAAGTATTTTTGTATTGATGTTTCGACAAGCATTTTTGTCTTGTTCATTTAACTTTAAATTAATTTTTTAACGTCAAACGAATGGGTTTTTATCGTTTTAAACTGTAATAAAACTAGCTTTCAAACAATCTGAAAGCTGAGAAGCGTGTAGTTTTAAATTCACCCAAAACTACGTATTCATTGCTTTAAAGTTTTGAGGAAAAATTCATGGAAGTGCTAAAAATGTTATTTCTCTTAATCTAAAAAAGCAGCCTCTTTATTTCCTAACTTTTTTAGAAGGTGTTGTGCTGTCTAATAATAATATATCATCAAAAGTTTGTTAATTATAAAAAAGAAAGAAAAATATCGAAAAAACACAAATTAAAAATTAAACCTAAAATCCTAGATGGCGAGAGTAGAAACCTCTTAAACAGCAAAAAATTATATTTTCCTAAAAAAATTTTTTTACTCAGTGTCCTGAAAATTTTTCGTAATAAAGAACTTTTTGTAGTAATCCATGCTCGATATATCGAGCTTTTATTTTAATTTTGTTTTTCACCCATGAGTTGCATGAATTGTGAAATTATCATCACTTTTTAATCATCCATCACAGATAAAGTTGGCATCATTTAATCGTTAAAACTATATTTTGGAAATATATATTGGCGCCAAGACAAAAGATTACATTGAAACAAAAATTAGGTCAAGTCGTATTTTATTGCAGTTTCGCATCTACCATTGTATCTTCAAAACAATGCCGCGATTATAACTCTCTCGATCACAAAAATTACTTATACTGTAAAGGATAAGCTATCGTTTCTACAATAACAACCTAGACGTTTTTAACTGTTTAGATATCCAGTTGATGTTTTTTGTATATAAGAGTTTTTACAATGTTATCTTTTTGTACGATCCTTTGGATATCTTTTACGCGGTATTTTCTTTTTTTTTTCCAAGGCAATAAAATTGATTCTTTCATTCGTAGGGTTCGATTCCCATGAGATTTAAAAATTTATCTTTGGGAAAATTGCTTCAGTTCAGTTGGGTTTATATAGATTAAATATTTGAACTAAGTGGTTTGTAAAAATCGTGTTTCAAAAGATTTTGTGAGAGGCAAATGAAAAAAAAAATAATATTTGGATATTTGTTTCATAATCTTAAAATAATCGCTCTTTGTTTTAAAAGAAATGACTGAAATATTAAAATGTAAAATGTGATGCGATAACTTCAATTATCGTTTTCTGAGAAAAAAAACTAAAACGATTGAAACTGACAAGAGAAGTTTTATCGTCTGTTTTGCTTTTTTTCCCTCCCTTTTATTTTATTATTATTTTTTTATTAGTATTTGTTATTATTTTTTTTCGCTACTTTTTTCATTAATATCGAGAAACGGTTTAAAATGTTTCCTTTTTTTAAAGTTTCTTTATCTGTTAATAGTTTCTTGTTTAAATTATTTATTCATTTATTTGTTATGTAGCTGGTTAGTGTTCTGAGCCACTGCCAACGCCCTCTAGTGTGTGTTTTATAACTTAATTGCTGTATTATTGTCAATTATTGTCAATGAGAAAAGAAACAGCATGTTATGAGCAGCTATGTTAAGTGTTAAAAAAAACCAAAATAGTGAAACGTGTAATAAAGCAATACAATTATTCAGTCCACATTCTTGTGGTGAACCTCAGCTATCAACAGTGCAGTGATTAAACAGGTTGTGAAATGGAAAAATATATATAAAAATATATAATATATATTTACAAGTCACTAAGTTTATACTTTGTTACGTACTATAATTTATTTTCAGTGTATGTACAAGTCCAATGGTAGGATAACATAGCGACAAAAAGCATTTTTCCTGTTAGTGTTTTACTACTTTTATTTAACCACTTTGGAAGAATTTGCATCTTATTTTAGTCTATTTTTCTTTCTTTATACGAAAAACATTTTTCTATTAGTATTTGAATTCGAGTTGTTGAAAAATACCGAAGTGCATGATTATTTTAAGACAGATTTTATTTAGAAAATTATTTTAGTTTTGTGTAACTTTTTAAATGGAATAATCTTTTTTTTTGTTTTTGTTTTAGTGGGTTTTGATAATTTGTTTTGGTTTATTTTAGCTAATGTTAGGTGTTGTCTTCTAACCGTCTGTATTGCCTTGAAAGAAGAAGAATTTTAGCAGAAGAAAGCAACAGTGTATTTTCAACTGTATCAACAAACTTAATTGTGTACTTAATTATATAGTCTTATTATGTATTTCAACTGCTTAAATAACTAACATTAAATATTTAAAAAAAAGGTTCATTTTATTAAAATTTTATGACAATTACCATGGTTATTATTTTTCAATGTCTAAATCTCTGCATTTATTTATTATTAGTTTTTAAAAAACACAACAAATAAAATTTTTAAAAAGGGAACTGTTTGAAAATTGCTGAAAAAATTGCATATATTAAAATGGATTTAAAAACAAAATGTTTCATGTCTTATTGCAAAAGTGTTGTAATGAAATAAGCATTTTTGATATTTGCTGTAATAATCAAATCTGGTTTTTTGATTAGTTTAATAAATATATAAATTAAACTATTCTTTTGTTAAAAATACTATCAACTTAATACAGATCTAAACCGATTTCTATTTTGCATTTAATAACAATGCAACACTTCTCTTGTGGAATTAATTCTCTTTTCAAATCGATGCACAAGTTTTGTGATCTTTATCGTTTTGAGCAGAAAACATTCCGAGAAAAAACTACCTGCTCCTATTCAAAAGATTCTTCTCTACAAGAATACAATTAGAATAGGTTCTCTGGAATTATTTGGCCCGGAGGTTTTGCCTGTTTTGTACTCACAAATCCAACTTACTTAAACACCGCTGACGTTAATTCCAAGGGCCAATTCGCATTTTCTAGCAACTTGGCGGTGAACCTTCTATTATTGTTATTGCTTTTTGGCGGAGTTGTGTTTCTACACTTGATGTTTTAATCAATGGGAAACGTGATCTCTGGCAAAACAGTGGCTGCTATTTCTTGCCTCTGGCGCATTTCTCTTTGGCCATTGATTCTATTTCGGAGGATTTTTCCATTGGGAGATGGTTTTGAATATTATTTTTATAAAGTTTGGCGCTATTTCTTTGTTGGCGATACGTGCAAAATTTTACCATTCATCCACTTTTCGATGATACTTAGGCTTTTTCCCTGATCTAAGAAACTTCGAAAAGGATTGATTGTCCATTTCATATTCAAGACTTTTATCTCTTCTCTCTCTGTGATGCAAATTCCTGAACTTCGATTTGAAGAACTGTGTTTTAATTTACCTTTTTTTTTTTAAACCTATTTCTATCTGGGGCAATTTTTCATTCGAAGAATTGTTTGGTTGTACTTGATGTTGATTGGAAAACAGAATGATAATGTTCGAATAAATGACGCAACTGCGTGGCTTCATTTGTATCATCCATTGAGAACTTGGAACAAATGCTGGAGTGTTTTAACGAATTCTTGTTTTAAAATTTGCGTTAAGCGAATAAATAATTTTAATGCTATTACTGATTTCTAAAATCCTTTAATTTCCCCAGCCCAATTTCATGATAATTTGTTTTCTTTATTTTTTAAATCACTTACGAACTTTGAACGTATATTAGAGTATAAGAGTGTTTTAAGTAACGAAAACGATTTTTAATTCATTCATAAAAGGAAAAAATGATTTTTAATTTCTTTTTTCAAAAGCAGAATTTAAAGTAGGAATACATGCAATTTTTTTTTAGCTTAATGTCAATTTCTTTAATCCAATTTTATATCAATTTGTTTTATTCATTTCTCCCATCACTGCACTTATGCTTAGGTCTTATGAATAAGATAAAGTTTCAACAAATTCTCATTTTGAAATTTCCGTTTAAATAAATGAAGAATTTCAATCGAGATCTCTTTTCTTCATTTCTTTTTACAGTAGAGCAGGGATCAGAGATTACATACAATTTTTCTTTTCTTCTCAATTTTACATCAAATAAAATGCCTAAATTGCAAAGTGTTTTCGTCAAGAATTGTATTATATTCTTTTTTAGAATCGTTGTCAAAAATGGAATTAAAAAATATACCCGTTGAATATCGTAAATTAGTATTTAAGCGAAGAATAAACAAAAACACTATCATCCAAATTTTTATAATCAATATCGAAAAAGGTTATATGGAAAACATTAAAACCAGTTTGATTGCTCGATGAGAATATTAGGGTTTTTTAATAATCAGCTTTTGCCTCCTCTTTATTTCAAAGCACCGTCTTTTTCAGAAAGAATCGTTAGATTTTTTAAGATTTTTTGTTTTTATTTCGCCTAAATTAATATTGGCGATCCCTAAATATATGCATAGTTTGAACTTTATTTTTGGTAACACTCGTAAATTTTTTTTTATTTTGGATTCATTAAAATGTTTTTTTTTCTTACTTATTTTTTTTCTCCACAATATATTTAGTTTCAGGCCTTAAAATGAGGAAATATTTAATGTGTTACATTAATTGTCAAATAACTAAATTCAAAATTCTTTTTAGTTCATAAATAGGGCAAAATGCAGAATTAAATTCTGATAGATAAAATAGATTATTTTCATTCTTTATTTATTTTGAATTCCATAATTTACTGAAGTTTTGGGAACTTACTGAATATTTTATCTTCATCAATATTAAACTTGATTTGTAATAACATTTGACGGACTGCTAACCTTGTAAACATATCGGACAATCAAAATTTCACATACATTCCAATTTTCACATTTATGCATGAGAAATAATATTCTAACTTTACAACATTTTTATTTTACGAAATGTCGAAAAGCATTTACTGATTTTAATTCAATTAAATTCTTTTTCATTTTTATTAAAAAATCCAGCATTCATTTATATTATAAAATGTCAAAAAAGCATTTAATATTATAAAATCTTAAAATAATATTTAATTTCATGCGCGTTCAAAAGCCCTTGGTATGTTTAGAACTCTTTTCTTAGTGTCGAAAATGTATTTTATATTTCAACTTTCTCGTACTTAACTAAAAAATGAAAATTTCAGGTCATAAGAAATTTAAAACTTTTTGATATGGCGTATCGGAGATTCCAAAATTCATAATCTGCTTATGTTACTAAAAAGCATGGGGGTAGATTTCCAATTTCCAACCTTCGTTAAAAAATCGTGAAAATAATACACCCGAGCATAAAAAAAAGTAAGAAAAAAAGATAATTATATGAAAACACCCGATCTCTGCTGTAGTCGGGCGCAGGATCCGAGAGAAATTTAAAACTCATTTGTTCCACAACGTAATAATCGTTTGCAGGAAAGGAAGCTAATCTGGCAACGGGTGTGCCAGAGGAGTTTCAGTTGCACGACCATTATTCCAAGGATCGAATTCTTTTATTACCTCAGCTCTACACGGGGTTTTCTTAACTATCTCCCAAAATAATAAAAAAAAAGAAGTTTTTTCTTACATCGTCTTGTTCCATTATTAAAAATGGAACATTATACTTTTTTAAAGTATTTCCGTTTACGACTTCGCCATCAAGCGAGCAGGCTAAATCGTTGTCTATTCCAAAAGTCAATGGAAATAATCATCTATCGATTAAAGTTGTCACGTTGAAAGAGAGTGGCTTTGCGTGTGGAAAGGTTATTTATGGTCACAATTGTCAGGTTTCGATGAAATAAATAACTGAGAAATGGTGTTATTTCGTAGTTAACATGAAACTGACATTGGATCGGCTTCTTCAGACTGTTAACCTTTATATCTCTGTGATAATGATTCGTTATCACTTTATATCGAATTGAGTCGTTATCGATTCGTTGTGGAAAATAAAACATAATACGCTTGATTAAATGGATAGGCAATTTTCGTACTTAATGATGGAAAAGCGAAAAATAGTGCTTTAGAAATGGGTCGTTCTCCCTCCCATGGGTAAGCGTTGCCATTTTTTTCTTTGTGAAAGTGCATGCTCCCCCACCCCCAACATAATGGAACTGTCTTCCTTAATATAATTATTATAAGAAAATTTAAATACAGCTGCTACATGTGTCGGCTATTGCCTGTCTATGGTAGATTCCATTATGATTAACTTTTTTTTAATGAAATTCAGAATTTGAAGTCGATTAAAAATTGTCACCACATTTACATATTTTGAAAACAAAGAAAAGATTGAATATTAAATTGAAATATATTTTGGCTTACCGAAATCTACATGGAATCATTCTTAGCAGCATCTTCTTTTCAATCCATTCTTAGCAGCATTAGATTAGGCTCTTATGTAGATTCAGGAGTAGCCGACTTTGGGTTGGATTAAGATTTTCATGCAGATTCCGGATGACCTAAACATCTCATTTTATTCATATTTTTATTGTTGCACTAATTCTTAACTTCAAATTTTTGAGCTATTGGAAACTAAAACTTTATATTAAAATTAATGTTTTTGCCCCTCCCCTTCCAAACGATATACAGGGTCCATTCCAGAAGTCTCAATATTAGAGAAAATTTCCGTATCCTGTACCTGCACCGTCAAGTTTTGGCTATAACAGTGGATAAATCCGCAAAAAAAAAAAAAAAAAAAAAAAAAAAAAAAAAAAAAAAAAAAAAAAAANAAAAAAAAAAAAAAAAAAAAACACTCAAAGGGCCTTAAAATTATAGGATGGAATGCAAACGTGATCCCGCACAGATGTCTAATCTCGCAAGATCGAAATTCAAAAACTAAAAGGAATCTTTGAACATTTAAATGCCTTTTATTGATAACTTTCAACTGAGAAGAACGGATAAGAGCATTGTTTTAAAGTGATCTGCGAACGAACTGCAACAGTGTTTTTAAATCCCGCAAGTGCAACTAGGTCAAGGGAATTAGAATATATAAAATGTATATATATATGGAACTAGGGAAACGAAAAATAACAGATTTCTTCAACGTACTAGCTAGACAGAGCCATGCTGGCTCAGGGGCATAGAGTGTTCGCCTTCCAATGAGGGAAACCAGGTTCGAATCCCAGCGATGACAGGTCAATAGGGGTACCACACCCGGCTTGCACCGACCACAGTGCTGACATAAAATAGCCTCAGTGGTAGAAGGGTCATGGGTTATAGTCCCCTCGCCATGAGGCAAACCATGGGAGGTCTTTGTGGTTTTCCTCACCATGTAACGCAAATGCGGAGGAAAATTCCATCAAGAAAGGTCTCCATGGAGGCAAATTTCTCCCAATACTTTATCCAGAAGTTTCCTTGTCTTCTGAATTGGTTTCAAAATGACAAGACTACGGAGTTGAACATTAGTAGTCGTAAAACCCAAATCGGGATGGTTGTACAACGGCGGTTATGAAATATGACTGTTACAATAAAGTGCATAAACAAACAAGAAATCAAAGTTTATTCGTTATTCTCTTTGCGTTCTTATTTTTTAGCATTAAAGAAATGTCTATATTTTTTAAGGCCATAATTTCCATAATTATCTTGGTATTTTCTTTTAAAATATTAAGTATCATATTATTTACAAGCTCTTTGTTTTTTCACACAGCTCTTTATTGTAATTTATTGACTTCTATTAAATTCTTGACTTCTTATTGTAATTTATGACTATATTGAATTCTATATTTGAATGGAATTCTGAACTGAGATTCATCAATTCCGTTAGATTAGTGAATCTCAATCTCGAAATCCCGCAGAGAAAAAAACAGTGCTATACTGGTAGCCATCCCGCAAAGAAAAAAACAGTGACTAACTGGTAGCCATCCCTCAGAGAAAAAAACAGTGCCATACTGGTAGCCATACCGCAAAGAAAAAAACAGGGACTAACTGGTAGCCATCCCTCAGAGGAAAAAACAGTGCCATACTGGTAGCCATCACGCAAAGAAAAAACAGTGCCCTACTGGTAGCCATCCCTCAGAGAAAAAAACAGTGCCCTACTGGTAGCCATCCCTCAGAGGAAAAAACACTGCCGTACTGGTAGCCATCCCGCAAAGAAAAAAACAGTGACTAACTGGTAGCCATCCCGCAGAGAAAAAAAACAGTGCCATACTGACAGCCATCCCGCACAGAAAAAAACAGTGACTAACTGGTAGCCATCCCGTAGAGAGAAAAACAGTGACTGACTGGTAGCCTTCCCAGAACTAACCACTGCATTTTTTCCTTTTTTTTTATTTTTAAAAAGTTTTAAAAAAATTGGCTACGATAGTTAGGGTGAACAAGTATTGATACGAAAATATCCTCTCAATATATTTCAATTTGAAAATAATTTTTTTTGACAACTTCTTATTCTAATTTCATACTTTAATTTAGAAAATTTTTTTTTTTTTTTACACACCCTACTGTACGGGAAATGACGTTCGAAATCACTTGAGTTTTCACCACTACAAGTGACGTAGCAAAACCGTCTATAAAGGATACTGTCAGTGTTATCTGTGATTTTTTTTAATGGGCTATTACACATGTATTACTCATGCTATTCTTTTTTAGTTGTCCGCATGATATTGGTGTTATATAAGTGGGGCAAAAAGTTTATTATCGATAACATACGATGCCGCTTTACTGCACTCTATTTTTTAGTGTAGTTATCAAGACTCTTTTGTAATGTATATTCCATTTAATATGTAATAATGATCGTTTCATTCAATATGTAATAATGTTCATTCATAATGTATATTCCATTTCTGATGTTGCACTTTTCTGCCGCTAAAGATTTGAACCAGAATGTCACTTATTGTTTGAGGTCATCGTCGTTTGCTTTACAAAAAATGTCTGTGGGAATAAGCAATTTTCACTCGATGCCAAGGCACTTTAAAAATGTCTGTGGGAATAAGCAATTTTCACTCGATGCCAAAGCACTTTAAAAATGTCTTTGGGAATAAGCAATTTTCACTTAATGCCAAAACACTTCAATTTTGAATATTTTCTTCAATCTTTGCTTTCAACACATCTGACGTTACAGATGCCAGTTATGACAACGAAATTAAAAATTATAGTGACTACATTGCATGATAAATAAAGGTACTCAGACTTAGTAAATAAAGTTAAGTGTTAATATATTTTCCTTTCTTTCAAGTTATGCCACAACATTCTTCGCTTTATAGATGAACCTTCTATATTTGGTACCTTACCCATAACCATGAACGATGAAAGATAATATTTAAGAACGATCTTCTCTGTGAAACCAGCACACCTTTCTTTAAGTTTTTTCTCGTCCAAAGAACCGCTGCGTCCTCTAGCAAAACTAAAAAGAAACAGTTACTTGATTCTGTAAATTTGTACTGAGTTTATAGACAGCGTTTCTGTGATATTTTTGTTTATTTCTGTACTAGTATATCATCAATCGAAACTGATTAATCTAATTTATAGTTACACTTTTCCCCGCAGAGTGGCGCTGAAATCATTTTGGCTAGAATGATGCCATTTTGCTGCGTTTTTACATGGTACTCTAACATTGGAGTGATAATTCTATCTTTATTTTTCTGTGCCCGTAATTCAGTAATCAAAACACATACGTGCAATAGTGAGAAGCAGAAGACAACATTAAAACGAAATAGACAATAATAATCAAAAAAAAATTTTATTAAATATTTATTTAAATTCTTTGGCATTTCAATTAAATGAAAAATCGAAGCTTACCTCGATTAAATTGGTTTGCTTATTTAGGAATCACTAATAACTAAATAGTTCTTCAATTAAACCAATCAAATTAAAATCCCTCGATCAATTTAAAATTCCTTTTTTTCCTCCCTTTCATTCTACTGCTAATTTTGATTGAAATATATTTAAATACTTTAATTGCAATGAAATGCATTCTAAAACGAGATTTTGAACTTATCCAAAACAATGTGCAATGAACTGAACTGAAAGAGTCTTCATTTTGAAAATGCGATACTTAACTTTTTTAATTTAATAGACGTTCGTAATGATGCAACTCATTACTCGAGTTCAAAACTAATTGCGCCCTAACTATAATGATATCGGTATTTATTGGCATTTACGTATAATTTAAGTTTTCAAAAGATGCTTCTATGTTTTTTGCTTACCTTCTTAGAAATTAGTTTTATACGAAAAATAGTGTGGTATTTTGTAAACCATATTTCAATTGCGAAATCCATTTATTTTCTCATTTTCAATTTCTTTATCGTGAACTTCGAAGGTGTGTTACGTATCACATGTCACAGCCTATATTGCTGATAGTCATTCATGATAGTAAAAAGAACAGTTAGTGTGCATATTTCGCTCTTATAATCCGTTCGAGCTAGGATTCTGAAATTCGGATAGCGGTTGCAAGCGGCAATTTCAAAAATTTTAATTGTTCGTTCGTGTATGAAATTATTTTTCTCATAAGCATCGTTCAATAAAAACTGCAGACGATTTTTTTGTATCCATAATTTTAAAGATAACAGCAAGTGATATTTGCTAGCTTACTGCTCTATTCATTCAAGAATGCGTTTTACTGCGAGTTTATTTCACGTTCTTTACGAATTATTTATCTTTTATTCTTTATGTTCGTTAACCGTAGGGAAACTCAATGTGCTACCACGAATAATTGTTTTGAAAGCTGTTTGAAACGAAGAGTTTATTTTATTTAGAGTTAAGCTTTTGAAACTATAAATATGTCAGCGGTGAATATTAAATCAACGGTACTCGAAACAGAAAAAAAAAGAAAAAGTTTTAAACTAAAGTGCTGATTTATTTAGAAAATTGCTTGATAGTGGTTAATCTTGATTATAATGAGTTTTTCGCTATGAATAGCATACTCTTCGGTGTCGAACAATACTGACTGAGTATAGTTTATTTTGATAAGTCGAATTTCTAAAAACTTTTTTTTACTTAATCTCATAACGTAAAGTCACCATGAATCGCAAAAAAGTAAAAATAAAGTTAAAAAAAAAATTAAATCATTCTAACTTTTTCCTTTATGTTTGTAAATGCCTTTTACTATCGTGCATGATTTCGTTGTTCAAATTAATTACATTTTAATTACCCCTTATTTTTTTATTCCGTCTGTACGAAGAAAGTGTCATGTCAGTAAAAAATAAATAGTGTCACTTAAATACAAAGTTTATTTTTAAAAAAATGCTAATACTCCATGACAAAAAAGAATACAATAAACTAAATAAAAAAAGTAATACTGTAAATAATGTAATTTTAAGTATACAATTTAAATTCGAAGTTAATCGTTGAAGTCCTGTTATGGATTGGGTGACGTAAGTATATTTCGTTGGCAACTAAGTGGCTACCATTTATTTATATTTTCTTACAATTAGCTGTGTCCTTAAACCTTTTTTGTATTAGATCATTCTAAAGAAGATGCCTCGTTCTACCGGAAACTACGTTGTATTTTATGTTCGAGTTTATTTTTGTTAATTTTCCAAGCATTAAAATGGAATATTAGGTTGAGAAAAATTCGCATTTTCAACACATCCTTTTTGCTTCTAATCAAGGTTATAAGACAGCAAAAGCTACTCGTGACTATTGTGTTTTATATGTAGAGGGTGCCCTAACTGAAAGCATTGCCTGTAATTGGTATGTCTAGTTTAAAAATGGAAATTTGGACCTTAAAAATGCACTTCCAACGGGTCGTCCAGTTGAATTCGGAATTCGATGAAGAGCGATTAAACCAACTTTTTCTCGATAATTCACGTCTAATGGTAAGGAAAACGGAATGATCTCATATTTTGACCCTATAAAAAATTTAAATGAATGACGGACATTAGTTGCCCACCCAATAACTTGGAGAAAAACCCTTTTAAGTTTTCCGTACACTCTCAGTGCGTGTTGTCCGAAAATTCGAATATTTGGATATAGTTAGTTCATCCTCATAAGCATTTTGGTACTTAATTTTAATGTATAAAGATATTGGTAATCTTTTTTCTAAAAAGGAACGATATTTTTTGGATTTTTTTATTATTATTATTATTACTATTTAAGGATGAGGTTTTAATTCGTCTTGAATAATGGGAGTTTGGAGCACAAGGCATTTTTTCAAACATAATTTCATTCAGGAAAGAAAAAAGACCTTTCTTAACAATAATTGAATTTTTATTAAAAACTCACCATGGTTTTAAAAGCAGATTTGGCTCATTTTCTGCCGAAATTAATTCTGCCATTGTCCGCCGATTTCACTTGTGAAAAGAAGCAAAACGTCACCCCCGGAAAAAAAATAGTTCCATCATGATGTGATAGTATCAATTCTTCGATTGAATGAGAACAGAATTTTGAAAAGAACATTCGACACTTCTTCCTTACCTTTGATTGATTAGAAGGAAGTTCTATAATTTTGTATGTCTAGTTCAATGTTACTTAAAAAAAAGAAAAAAAACCAACTGCTAAAAGTGTAATTACTGTGGCTATTTTCTAAAACATTTTTATGCATGTAACAAATGCAGGATAAAAAGTTTCGATTTGCAAAAGATCTAAACAGTGTTGTTGATTCGAAGAAAAGAACTCATTAATTCCTTTTGAATATGCTTATGTAACCTGTATCTTTTTTAATTGTATAGTTCCGCTCTTGACCTCTTCAATCAGATATAGATCTATACATTATAATTATATATAGGGTTGTTGATAGTGAAGGAAACTTCGATTCGCTGTTATTATAATGAATGAATAAATAGGTTTTTTTCTTCTTCTTCTTTTTTTAAAATATTTGAAAGATAATATTTTAGTAATGTTTGCTATCTCACAGTTCTATTTAATCAAAAGAAGAGTCTATTCCACGTTCTTTAATGCTTAATTTTTTTTATTCGTCATGTCAGTTAAGCTGAATAGTCAAATGTTGATGACGTGTGAGGACTACGTCACCATATTTGCATTCCTATAGACTAGAGCCCCTGAATTAGACAGGCCGACTTATCATCTATTTTTGGAGCATAACGCTAACATAAGCACAATACTAACATAACGTTAACTTGCGAACTTGTTTGCTCCAATATTGCTTGATAGATTATCTCTGATAGTATAGGAGCCTTACTATAGACATCTGAAACCACGTGTTTATTTTGTTTATAGTTATGCTTTTGAAACGAGTTTCTATTCAACTAAATAACTGGCCAAGCAGCATCGCATGACAAACGCTGTACAAAGCGTAGAGATAGCGGGTTCGTATCTCGCTGTTACCATGGATGCATTTTCGTGCTGTCCATCTCTGCATTTTTACAAAGGTTTATAAACCTAATTTAGTACACTAGCCTGCAAATGTATATTGTACCAATAAATAAAATAAAATCATCCGTAGGTATAAAATTAATGGTGAAATAAAACTAATAGTGAAAAACCGCCACATTATTATTGACGCCAATGATGCTTAATTAATTTTGGTAATAGGTGCTGTTTTAATATCAAATAAATTGGTATAGGTACCTAATGCGGACACTGTGATAACACTTTTTTTACGGCCCACTAAAAGTGATAAAATTATCTAACTTTGGCAAATTTTGACTATCCTACAATAGCATCATGTTAAATGATAGTGAATTTAGTTGAATCTTTATTTTGAAGGGTTGACGCTCTAAAAAGTATTTTTCTTAATCAGTATTCTTTGAGACGTGGTGCCTCAGAGGATAGAGCGTTCTCCTCTCAATGAGGCGATCCAGGTTCGAATTCCAGCTATGGCTGGTCGATACGAATTTAGCATCCCGCTCTCCCGATCACAGTACTAACGTTAAATACCCTCATTGGTATACGGATTATGAGTTAAAGTTTCATTGCCGTAACGCTAACCGTGGGAGGATTTCCTCTACATGTAACGCAATTGCTCGTTATTTCCATCAAAAAGTCCTCCTCGAAGGCAAATATCGCCAATGCTTGATCCAGGAGTTCCTTTGTTTTCTGGATCGGGATCAGAATTACAAGGCGATGGAGTTGAGCATTGGTAGTCGTAAACTCATATTTGGGCCGGCTGTTCAACGACGATTATAAATTAAGATAAAAATCTGTACTTTTTGTAAATAGTCACAAGGCTACACGATCTCGAAACATGCAACTTTTTATTTCGATGATTTCAGCAAATCCAGCTTTTTCCCCACCCCAGTATATTCCAACTTCTTACTGAAACGTGGGGGGGGGGGAGCAAGAATTGCCGAAACTATGCCATTGGGTAACGGAGAAGGGAAAAGTGTGGAGGGTGGGGTTTTTGCCGAATCTTAAGACACCTATTCTTACAACGAGTATAATTACGTAAAGCTATCTTAAAATTGAATGATGAAATATTCAATTCTATACTGTCTCCTTGTTCATAAGGATTTCGAATTTGACGTATAAGAGTTGTTATTTTGCTTGATTTAGTTTTATATTCTGTTTATTTAAATTTGTTTCTCTGTTCCCTCTATTATACGTATCTGAATAATATCTAGTTTCTGCCATACTGTTATACATTCAGAAAGCCCCAATGTTAACTAAAAATGAAATGGTCTTTTTTTTAAAAAAAAAAAGAAGATGACAAACAATCGTCTTTGTGAATCTAAATAAGCTTAAATGTATATCAATATTTAATCACTTTTATCTCAGAATTATACATGCTTAAATCATTCGTTAAAAAATGTTAAAAAATCTGAAAACTTTTGTTTGTTTGATGAGAATATAAAATCAAACCATTGAATTATCTTTTTCTTAAATTCTTGAACTATCTTTTATTTTAATTTTTTCGTAAAAAAAAAAAAAAAAAAAAAAAAAAAAAAAAAAAAAANAAAAAAAAAGAAATTAGAATATGATATTTCTTTAATTTTGACCAAATTTATTTCCTCGAAGAAGTGGCGATCGTTATTTTGACGAAAAATTCGCTCGGAGATTATACCTGGAAATGATTTCGTCAAAAACAAAGAAAGTTAGATGATATTTCAGTACCCATTTTTTAAAGTGTTCATTTATGAGATTAATAGCTAAACAATTATTAGTAAATGAATGTTTACCAGGAATATTGTCTGTGCACTACGAACGTATTATATTTTCAGGATTTGCACTAAAGGATTGTTTTCTAATAATTTTCTCTGCGAATTTAAAGGCGTGGTGTATTGGTTTTCATTAAAGTTCGGAATATGTCATATTCAAAAAATTTTATGTGTTTTATAACACATGAAGATAAAATATCTTATTTTTCAAGAGGCTAAAAATTAAGTTATAAATTCTTTAAAAATAAAAGGGTAAAGTGAACAAGTTTTGGCACGAATTCACATACACTTTAGAATCTTTTTAATGGTTATAATAATAATATAATGAGAGAGCATTTCTCTTTATTCTTTGCAAGCTTGTATTCATTTTTACATCTGTTGATAACATCTGTTTTTTATTTCACAGGCATAAAATGAAGTATCTGTGATTGAGGTGTTTTGCTTCTTCAGCATCTTCTATAAATCGCCGTAACGCTTTCTATCCTGTAAAGAAAAAAAAAAAAGAAGGAATTATTCAAAAATCGCGATTCATAGTTTGAAATCATATGAAAAATTTTCATGTCATTGTATTTATTTTTTTGTGAAATATGAATAAATTACAATATTACAAAAGTCATTTTGTACAATGTTTATAGAGCCTTATTTTAATTACACAAAATATACTACAAGTATGAAAATTCTAGTGTATGTATATTTCCCCTGGTCGTTAAAATTTTGTGGGAGAAAAAAATACTCTAACTACCAAAGTAATTTTGTGTTTTGTATTGCATCATTTTTTAATAATAACGTAAGTAAAACTGACTAGCAAATGGTGGCCTACTATATGGAAACTTCAGGGATGAAAAGTGATAATCCAGATTTACTTTCTAAAAATTCGACAAAAATGTGTGTGGCTTCTTTTAAAAGTGAACCAGCATTATGTTCAGAGCTAGGGAATTGCAGTTGAAAACGAAATGTTTGACCCCTAGTTATTAAAAGTTCCGCCCTGTATTTTAACTAAGTTTTTGATCTTATGAAAGTTATTTAGATAATTATTTATAATTATGTGAACAGAAATCTATTCGATTGAATATCATGACAATTATTTAAATAATTGAAGACATTTTTAAGTTTTTAAGCTTATGTTTGTTTAAACTATTTAAAGAGATATTAATAAATGAAATTAATGATTGATTTGGTTCATAAATTGCAAGACCAGCCACGCACTCTCGTCACAGCCCGTTTTACTGGGTGGACCCATTCATACATCCACAGATCGTAATTTTAGTCTGAACCGGAGAACGATCACTCTCTAATTCATTCCCCCCCAGAGGTATTGATTTGTTATGGGAACATGGAGGACCTTGTGACTCCAACAGATTTGACGTGAAACAGTCACCATTTAATACACGAGATTTCTTCGACCGGCTGGATTCGAGCAGCCGTTCTCAAGAACACGAGTCCAACGTCCTACGAACCAGGTTATACCGGCCACCGTGAAACAATTAACAACCATCTTGTTTGTCCGTGCCTTTTCTACGTTCTCATATGTCCAGCTTGGAAGACTGCGTATTCATTTAAGAGTTTTAAGTGATTGTATGTACAACTTATAATGTTTTCTTACACAGGGCCCGAGCTAAACATTCGCCTCCTCGCCAAATGCGATAAAATCATAAATTTGGCGATTAAAATTGTGATTTAGCGAATGAGTTTTTCCACTCGAAAGAAAAATATATATTTAACTCGATCTTCAAAATAACGTCTGAATTAATTTTTCTTAACAAATCAGTATTTTTTATTCGCTTACTGTAGATGCGCCGCATAACCAATTAGAATTGGATCCAAATAATATAAGCCTGAAACAAACTACCGTAAAATAGTCTTCTATCTAAAAAATAGTCATAAAAAATTCTTAAGATTTGCATTTGGAGAAAACTTTCGGAAAATTGGTGAATACTTTTGATATTTGGCTAATAATTTGAAATAATCTGAAATAATTTGAAATACTAAAATTGACCATAGATTGCGATAATGCTTACAGATTATGTGTTTCTACAGAACCTGTAGGTATTTTCAATTGACGCATTTAAAATGTGAACTGTTTTAACTTAAATTTTGAAATTTGTTTTGCGTACAGAAGTTAAGTTTTTAAATTAATTAGGTTTGCTGGTCTCAAATTTATAATTATCTTTAGACTTTAGTAGTTTCTTTGTCTAAGTGTGTTAAATCAATTTATTTGTAACAATGCCAGAACAATATTCCATTGTAATGNTATCCAAATAATATAACCCTGAAACAAAATACAGTAAAATAGTTTTCTGTGGGAAAGCATTAATCTTAAAAAATTGTTAAGATTTACATTTGGCAAACACTTTTGAAAATTGATATTTTCGAAATTTTTATAGGACCTCTACAAAGAGCCAGACATAGTAAAATTTATGTCAAGTCAAAGACTAAAATGAGACCTGGTTAGAATGAATGATGACCGAGCCACTAAAAAGATCTTCGACGGAAAACCATCTGGCTCGAAAAAGGGGAAGACCAAGGATCCAGTGGATGGACTGCCTAGAAACAAATTTAAAAGTTCTCAAAGTTGTAAACTGGAAGAGTCTATCCAAGAAGAGGGCAGTTTGGAACTTGATTCTGAAGACCCAACTTAGGCTGGCGTGCCATTGAAGAATAAGAAGTCTAAATTTTATTGGGATGGGCTATCATTTTTTACCTTCGAGATCTTCATATGTGTTATATTAGTAACATACATAATACAACACTTAATAAAATACAACACTTTTTCATTAGAAAAAGATTAAATTTTTCCACTCATTTTTTTTTTTAATGAGTTCCTTTTTGAAATAAAATTGCTCGGTCATTCTTCAAAGGTCATGATGAGAAGAGGTCGTTTAAATATTACGTAAGTATTACTAGATTAAAAACTTCAAAAATATGCAGATGGAAAAAAACTTGACATGCTTCAAGTGCTCAAAAATAAGCTCCCATTTCCAAGACATGTGAGGCGTAAATGTGGTCATCAGACTTGGACCAGACCAGACCTTAAAAATAGGCGCCCATTCTTGAGAGCTTGAAACGTCGACTTTTTTCCACATCTGTATATTTTTGAAGCGAATGTTTTTAATCATATTTTATCTCCCCGTTTCAAAGTCCTTCGATTATTCATTTAATTACGTAAACAGGCTTTTTGGACTATCCCTTTGTCAGCAAAAAATAAGGGAATTGCAAACCCACTCCTAAGTAAGAAAATTGCAACCCCCACGCTAAGTTTCATTTATTTATTTGCTTAAACTTTGATTTTTATTGTAGTAGTCCAATTTTAAGAATATTTTGAGACAAAAAAAAATTTCTAAAATTTTCTTTCTTTTCAAATTTTCCAAAATTTTGTTATATTTTTCTTGCTTCAAAATCCTTAGCTATTTTTGTGCTTACGTAATATTTGAACAGTCCCCACAGAATAAGACAGATTGTTGTACCTTGGACTGCCTATAGCTTGAATCAATGTAAATATTTGCGTCACTTAGCGGATAAATTCTGCATTTGGTAAATGTAGTTGTTACCCGCAACAAAATGTTGGTGCCCATTCCAGGTTTTCCAAGCATGAATTTTTTTTTATTTTAGTTGTAATTTGTTTTTATTAGCTTGATCTCAAAATAGATTCCTATCGTATTTACATTTGAAAGCAGAAATACGGTAGTTAAGTATCAATATGCCATTCTCTTAACTAATAATATCTTAAATATCACTTTTTGTTGAGAAAAAAATATTTTTTTGTTAGATCTAAGGTGACCAGAGGTTCTCAAATCATGAGGACATGTCTCGAATCCCCCCCCCCCCCCATAGTTGTCCTCAAAAACTTTAAAACTCTTCGAGGATTAGTAATAACTCTTTTAGGATTAAAAATCTATAATCTTTACCTATATCCTCAAATATTCTCTTATCTTTTTTTATCTGCCGTAAAATAAAAAAAATAAAAAATTAAATTGTCATTGTTTTCTTTTTCCTTTTTTTTTTTTTAAATATAATTTTGTCTAACAAAAAAGTCTAACAAACTAGCAAAAAAAAAAANAAAAAAAAAAAAACTAATATTAATTTATTAAAATCTTATGCTTGTTTGAAAACAATTTCTGCCAGAAATAAGCAAATTTTATTACTCATGTACTAATTCACTTTACATATGTTAGGCAAATGCAGAATATCACATGGTACTACATCAAAATTGTTAGTAATAAAATCAAGTTTGATGAAGATTATTTTGGATTTAATATTAATAGTCCCGCAGTGGACTGATCGTAAGGACATAGTTCCCAGTAGAATATTGAAGTTAAGTATCACTAGCTGCGGTCAGTGAGTGGGTGGTTGAATCAGCCTGCGTATGAACCGAGGGAGCACGGTATCTGTCATCGTTAAACTGTTCAATCGTAAAGTGCTCCATTTTCGCGTTCAGGTCAGCAGGCTACGAAAACGGGAGAGCCATTTCTTCTGCAGAGGATCAAAATTGTGATGGCATGTCTTCGGATCATCTTCAGGGATTTTACCAGACTTTTGGTAATTAATAACCTATCGTGCAGCTCTAGTGTGACTTAAAAAGAATACGTACCTCCTAATATTAATTAACAATTTTTAAAAAAAATATTTATTGCAAAGATAAGATTCTTATTTTGTATGAATATAAGGATGTCTTTTCAATCGTAAAATTTTTCGTGACCGCCTTGCTGATTTGTTTTGTTTTAAAATCATACTTTAAAAATCTCCTCACTTTAGTTAGGCCTAACAAAAAAAAAAAAAATTAAATTNAAAAAAAAAAAAAAAAAAAAAAAAAAAAAAATGTATATTTGATTGGTCTCAGTATTTTATCTTGATCCTCTGTTCAGAATATATAAAAATGATATTCTTTAGAAAGCTATACATTTATAAAATCTTTTAATAAATTGTGCACGTTTAGTATGACGTTTATGATTAATTTGACTTACTTTAGCTTACATATACTACTTAAAAACTATACATTTTGATTGTATGATCATCTAAATCCAACCATCTATAGAAAGGAACACGAAATCCAAGAAGCAGGGCCAGCGTTAAGGATTTCAAATTATCAGCCTGTAAAATAGCCAAATATCAAAAGTATTTGCCAATTTTCGAAAAATTTCAAAACGCAATTTTATTCGCCAAATTCACGAATATATGGTATTTGGCGAGGTGGCGAATACATGGCGCGGGCTCTGAAGATGTAACATTAAGTCTTCCAAGGTACATCATTTCAACTCGTTTTTCTGACTTTAAATAAATAAATAAATAAAATAAAATATTTTTTCTAATATTAATTGTATAAGTGACAAAAACTATCAGATTTTTTATTCATTTATTTTTATTAAGAAAACCTATTTAAATTGTCATTAAACCTTAAATTTCTGTTAATCTAAAAATAAATAAATTAAATATATTTGCAATTTTAATGATAACTGAAATTATTATTTAAAACTTTTCTGTCTCGAAAAGTGTTGAACATTTAATAAGTGTTCAATTGGCCTCTGAGTAAGTTAATACAGATGTATTAACTAAGGGCGAATACAGATGTCGCTGGTGTGGACTCACTGTGTCACACCACCAGCTAAGTGTCAAAACTAG